CTTAACAAAATGAAGAAAGCTTTTTAAAATAGATGTTTGATCTGAAGAGGCCCAGTGCTATTGTATCTTCTTTTAAATAGCAGAGAATAACATATACTTCCATAAAGCCACATCAATTTTAACAGCATCTGTACAAGTATAGTCTGAAATGTAACACCACAAACAGTGTATATCGTCTGTTTGCTGTTTGCTGCAAGGAGGCAAATTGCTGGGAAGCAGAGGCAAAAAAAATTTCTCTTGTTTTCCTCCCCAAAATCTAGGTGCGTCTTATACTTCGGAGTGTCTTATACTCTGAAAAATATGGTACTTCCCAGCCTCCTTTCGCCCAGGGTGAAGAAGACCCAATGTTATGGGACCAAATGGATGTGACCCACAAGTTGGGCTGTCCCCATAGGGAACTGTGCGTTCGGCTATCCAAGGGGCATTTCGCTGACCCAAGATTTCAAGCATTCACACAGTGTTACGGGCGCCAGTGGACAGAGACATCGCCTACCGAAAATGGAGTTGCCGCGGGTTGTGTAGCCCCCAAATGTGAACACGTGGGAGTGGTCTGCGGTCACCACTGTCAGGGTGTCGTCCAAAGAGGTCAGGATGCCAGCCTCGCCGATAGCCCGGTCCATCTCTACCGCCTCGTGCAGGGCATGCTTGGCCTTTCCTTCATGGTGCCCGTGGTCAATCCTGCCACCTTCAGAGAACAGGGAGAGTGAATTCCCAGTTTGGTTCCCTCCCGCCAGCCCTCTTCAGTCTCCCCACCACTCCAGCGCCTATGGTGTCCCCGCTTCCTGTGGCTCACCCTCAACCAGGAGGAAGAATCCGCGGGGGTTCTTCTGGAGGATTCGGATGGCCACGGTCACCATTTCGGTCAAGGAAGGATCCGTTTGGTTGTTCCTGTTGAGTTCGTACATCATGTCGATGGGCTCGAAGAGACCTACGGAGAAGAAGGAGAGGACTTGGCAAGAGATGCCCAGAAGATGTCACCCAGGCAGCTGAGGAGGGGGATTCCACCAGGACCTCCACCCTTCAGCTTCTGCCCTTCAGCGTCTTCCTGTCCTGGGGATGAGCTGTGGTGTGCACAGCTGCATGTCAAGACATGTTCCGGCTGCTCCTGTAAGGCTCTCCAACCTTGCTCCTTCTTGCCAGGGTGCCAACCTTCAACTGCCCATCCTCTCTTCTCTGGAGCTCTCCGGAACTCCCCTTCTTACAAAAGGAAACTTTCACACGGAGAGTAGAACCTCGTAGTAATTAATTACCGTACTTTTCGGCGTATAACACACACTTTCCCCCCTCTCAAAAGGGGTGGCAATGTCGGTGCATCTTATACACCAAATATGGCTATTTTTGGCCTCCCGAAACCTTACCCCTTGGGTCTTGTTTTCACCAAAAATGGGGCGCAAAGAGCAGTGGTGGGATTGGTGGGCATGGTGTGGCTTGGTGGGCATGAAAGGGGAAGGATACTGCAAAATCTCCATTCCCTCCCCACTCCAGGGGAAGGATACTGCAAAATCCCCATTCTCTCCCAATCAGCTGGGACTCGGGAGGCAGAGAATAGATGGGGGTGGGGCCAGCCAGAGGTGGTATTTACCAGTTTTCCGAACTAGTCAAAATTTCCGCTACCGGTTCTCCAGAACTGGTCAGAACCTGTCGAATACGACCTCTGGCGGAGAGGGTTTGAGAGGCTTGCAGAGTGCTCCTGGGGGCTGGGGAGGGCAAAAACAGGATATGTGGGGGGTTGGGAGGCCAAAAACGGGCCTGTTATTTGCAAAAATGGGATGCACAGAAGGGTTTGGGAGGCCTGCAGAGTGCTCCTGGGGAGAGCAAAAACTGGACATGCGGAGGCCATAAACAATTTTTTTCTTCTTTTCCTCTTCGAAATCTTGGGGTGGCTTATACTCTGGTGTGTCTTATAGTCCAAAAAATACGGTATCCCAAAGGCAAAAAAACGGACTGGCAGCATACTCAGAAGAGATCGGTCTCCCCACCTCACCCATTAAACGAAACTGGGGCAGCAAGCTAAGGGGCTTTGAATTGCCTGAAAATTCATCCCGTACTGGAAGGCAAACGACATGCCCGAATTCTTAGGTCTGTGATGGCGAGCCTATGACACATGTGTCACAGGGAGTCATATTTGCTGGCATGCCAGTTGTCAGGTCTGGCATACATGCGGGCACGAGTCAGCTAATTTTCGGCTTTCCAGAGGGCCGGGGAAGGCCGTTTTCGCCCTCCCCAGGCTTCAGGAAAGCCTCCAGAGCCGTGGTGGTGGTGGTGGTGGAATCACAAGGGCTTGCGCAGGTGGGCAGGGTGGATTGAATTGGTGTGGGCACGCACACAAACAATTTTGGCATGCCAGCAGAAAAAGGCTTGCCATCACTGTCTTAGGTGATCCCTTCCCTAATTTTATCCATTTGTGCTTGGAAAGCGAGCATGGTCCTTTGTTCGCGAGAGGGACATTCGGCAGTGGGACAAATTCAGTGGCGGGACCGGCCAAGCGACTCGTGTCAAGAGCGGTCACTCCAGAGGCCTTAGGGGATCTCCAGGGGAGCCTCTGCTAAAGGGGGCCAGATCCCTGAGAGCCCACCTGAGCTCCCACCCATCTGCCAAACTCACCCAAAACATAGTCGACTTTCGCTGGGTCCAGCTTCATTAGCTCCGTCCGGTTCCATAGATAAAGGGCATTCTGGGAGAAGAGAGAAAGGGAGGGGGAGTTCAGCCAAGGATTTTGACAACCGGATCCTTGCCCCCTTCCCTTCCGAGGACAGCCAGGGAAGCTCAGAAAGGGGGTTGTGGCTCAGGAATGCCAGGCTGAAGGGATACTATCCTGAGATTATTCGGGTGATCCTCCGGGAATCTCTGGCTGAGAGAGCCCAGGAGAAGGAGGAGGATGAGTGTGAGGTCCTTGGGGGTCTCGCAGGCATTTCATTAACCAAACTAGATTAGATTAGATTAGATTTATTTGGCTTGTATGCCGCCCTATTCCCGGAAGACTCAGGGCGGCTAACAATAAGAAAGGAAGGGGGGTACAAAAATAAAAAAACAACAATTTAAAATTCAACAACAGTCGTAACATCTGATGGGGCTGGATAATTCAACAGCCCCAGGCCTGCCGGAACAGCCAGGTCTTAG